AATTGCTGTGAATTACGCTCCCTATTTTTCCATTTGATATGACTTGCCTTGCGATCCTTGAATTTATTGTAATATCTGTCAAAAGAGCTGATCTCGATTATATTTTAATAATCCTTTATCAGCCCGGCATTGTTGCTAAGCGATGAATAAATACCTTATAAATATTTTCAAGAACACGTTTGAGTTTTGACTGTTCATCCCATATTAGACTTGCATTCAACCACAAACGCCCTCGCAAATTATATCTTTGTTGGTTATTATTAAGATCTTGAGCGAGTTGATTGACACGATTCAGCAAGGTATCTCATTCAATCCGCTTGGGAACGGGGTTGACGCTCAAAATGCCAAGGTATCAGCCTTTCAAGAGAACTTACAATACTTTATTATACAAAACCAATTAAACAGTCTATTGTTTTTATCCTTAAACGTTTCTCGATTAGGGACATTAACCTCTTATTAGAAAATGTAAATACAAGATTTCAAAGCTGATGACTGGCTGAAGATGTCGTACTGAAGGTCACGTTACTGTAACCGATTGTGCACATACATCACATCACGCACACACTCGACGATAATACTTTCTACAAAATGGCCTCTATTGACAATTTCAAAGAACTTATGAAAGTCATCCCTCACCACTATCGTTTGAATCTACTAAAGGGTGAGATTAAAATTATGCCAGTACACAACGAAACAAGTATGTTATTTTTTAAAATGTCGACAGAAATTGTATTGCCATATTGAACGCATTAAAAACATAGGTCAAAAAGAGGCCATACTTATTACACAAATTGGCGTTTGGTACTCGAATAACCGCAACCTTGTTGGACGATTTTTGTAGTAGCCAGGTATGTTCGACAAATTATCGTGTGAACTTTTTTTTCTCATGTGCTAATATTATATTAATTGCAGGGTGGCTTTACGTTGCCGACAGCTCCTCCAACGGTTTTATGCCCGGATGCCTCTGTCGTTCTCAGTACAAGGTTTTTGAATATTATGCTGATATACACGTCTTCACCATTTGTAAACTTTTTTATTATTGAAGGTGGAATACTTTGCCTCCCAACGAACAAGAAGAAGCATTTCCGGCATTGGCACCGAATTTCGTAGTAGAGATGAGCGATTCGGAAAGTTTTGTTCATGACAAAATGTGTACATGGATTGACGCAGGAGTCGAAGAAAGTGATGCACTATTTATTAGTTATGTTTTATTGATTACTGCTATTAATTATTACTGTTATGTTTATCCAGGAGGGTTTCTTGCTAGATCCTATTACTCGAAATGCAAGAATATATTTCAAAGGTAATCATCATATTCACTGGCGAGATTTGGGAAATCCTCCTACTATTTCTTCACAAATTCTGAACGGATTTGTTCTAGATCTACAAGAAATTCTTTGAAGGTAATGTGTCATTGATAAAAAAACCGGAGTAGCGGTTGTTTTTAATATTAATGTACTAATGTAACCATCCTTTTTAATATTTCTTTCATATCTTTCCAACATTTTCATCAAACGCACAAGTTTCCATATCAATGGTACCTCGCTAGAATGGATAAAAGCTTATGGGTTGCATTCAGGGTTTGAGACGAGAAGTGTGACAACATCTCCGGTCAGGGTGATGGCAAAGATTACGACATGCGTGTATTTTCAAAGTAAAAATAAATTTCCGGCTACGAATATTACGGCAAATGTTCTAATCCGCGTTCACCACGTATTTACGGAAAAAGAAAAGATTCGAATGATTATATCACTTAATAAATCCGGGATGTGTCGTCGATGTTAATGACCAGACCTTGCTTCACCTAGGATTAATAGATAATTTTTGGAAAAGGCAACGGACGTGGTGAATTATTGCTATTTTCATACATTAGAGCACCCATCACATAGAA